AATGTTAATTTAAATATTAATATTATTATTATCAAATATATATATATATATATATATACACAAAATTATATTTATATTATACAAAAACAACTGATATAAAATTTATTAAAAAAAAATATATATATGTTTTTATTAATTTTATGTCAGTTATTTTTGTATATGTTAAACTAAATGAAAATGAAAAATGCTGCCTTGGCAATTAGCTGAAAAAAAAAAAGTTTTTCTTTGTATTTTATTTTAGTTAACATTTATTAAGAAACAAAACTGTTTTTAATGGTTTTAGTTGTAGATTTAGTGAACTATAATAACCCTGATGTAGATTTATTGTCATTTTCCTTTTTTTTACCTGTTGAAAAATATCAACAGTGTTAAACTAAAACGAACGAATCACTTTTCACCTGAAATCAGAAGATAAAAAGTTAACAACGACATCTGCTTGAAGAAAGTGAGGCTGTTTTAAGGACCACATTATTTTCATGATAACTCCACAGATGTTGCTCTAAAATCACAGTGGTTTCTCGTGCATCCGTGCGGATCCTCACCACTCCCAGACGCGCAGGCTCTTGTCGTCGGAGGTGCTGACGAAGCGCCGGTTCTCGTCCACGAAGGTGATGGTGTTGACGGCGCCGAGGTGTCTGTCGTACTCCTGAACGACCTCGCCGGAGCGGATGTCCCACTGCACGCAAACACAGCCAGAAGAATAAACACTTTCCCAACGTCACCTGAAATAAAACCTCAAAACTGTACTTACTTATAATAATCTCATTTTCATTTAGTTTAACGGACTACTAAAATACTAAAACTGGAATAAAAATGTATAAACATTATATAAAAATATTAATTAAAAATGATTAAAATCGAATAAAAATGCACGACTAAATTACTAAAACTGAAATAAAAATGAATAAAAAATTATGTAGAACTATGAAAAGAATAAAAAAAAAAATACACCACTAAACTGATAAAGTAAAATAAAAATTAACACAAATTATACAGATGTTTAAAAATAATTAAAATTATAAAAATGCACAACTAAATCAATAAAATGTAAATGACTGAATAAAAATTATATAGAAATGAAAAAATAATTTAAATGACAAAAAAGCAAAACTGAAACGCTAAAACAAAAATTAATAAAAATGTAGACATATTTTAAAAAGTCAACAAAATGATCAAAATATACAACTAAATTACTAAAACTGAAATAATAATTATCAAATTATAGACATTTTAAAAAATGAATTTAAATGGCAAAAATACTAAACTGAAATAAGTTCATAAAAATGATAAAGACATTTAAAATTCACAACTAAATCACTAAAACCGAAATACAAAATTTACAAATATATAGACATTAAGAAATAGGCATTAAAACACAACTACGACACTAAAAATAAAATAAAAATTAATAAAACATTTAAAAATATGAATTAAAATGTCAAAAAATATACCACTAAATTACTAAAACTTAAAATTATATAGACATTAAAAAACCGAATGACAAATACACAACTAAATTATTACAACTTAAAATGGAATCAAAAACCTAATATATAAAAATAAAAACTAATTGAAAATATTCATTAAGTATCTCAATGCTCCCAAAGTAACCCTAGGCTGTATTCAGTCCTGTAAGGTGTTTATGAAGCGTGAAATAAAGTGTGCATGAGCGTCCTCATCATGAACATGAGCTGGAATAACGTTCATATAAAAATAATGAAATATTGGCTCTCGGCTCGGTACCTGGACGATCTTCTTGTCGGACATCCCGGCTACAAACAGCTGTTGTTTGTCCTCGTCTGGGTTGAACTTGACGCAGTAGGGAACCTTCCTGTTGGTGAAGCGGGCGATGCACTGACCTGAACGAGCAGAGGAGACTCTTTAGTGCTAGACTTCAACAGCACACCATGAACACAAACCGCTAGAACTAGAGAGGTCTGGGAAACTAGTGGGATGACTGGTCTTGTGTTTGTGTGAAGCTCTCACCCGTCTCGGAGTCCCAGAGTTTGAGATATCGGTCGTAGGCGGCGCTCAGGAACCGTGTGCCGGAGTTATTGAAGCAAACGTCACGCACGGCTTTACTGTGACCTACAGAGACACCAGACATCAGTCAGACACGCATTAACACTAACGTTCACACGATGTTCTCAGTGTTTCTGAAAGAAGTCTCTTATGCCCACCAAGTCTGCGTTTATTTGATCAAAAATACTGCAAAAACAGTACAATTGTGAAATATTATTACAATTTTAAAGTACTATTAACTGTTTCATACATATATAATATATCTAAATACATTGACATAAAAATTAATACAAGACATTTAAATGAACTAATTAGAATGACAAAAACATAACTACATTACTAAAACATAATTAATAAAAATGATATAGACATTTAAAAAAAACGCATTAAAATGACAAAAACACATAAAAATTCATAAATTATGTACACATTAAAAAAACTACACAAAAATAAATACACATGCATATAAGAATGAATATATAAAATAATGAAATATTATTACAATGTGTGAAAGCTGTTTTCTGTGTGAATATCTGTTCAACTGTAATTTATTTCTG